CACACACACACACAAACACACACACACACACACACACACACACACCCACAGACGCACACACAAACACAGACGTATATATGCATAATATACTCTGTCACATTTTTAAGTATACACATTTTGAAGCTTAATAAAACAAAATCAATGCCACCAAATACTTTCAAATGTACACCCTGATTACATGATATATTTGTCGCTGGTGAGCTTTTTCATATTTCTGAACGCGAAGTGGTTTTGTAACTGCATGCCTGTTACATATTTTTGTGTTTTTATTGAGAATTACTCATGATACGGCAATGATTTGTTTAAAAAAGAAGCTCATATCAAAGCTTTGTCATTTTTGTAACAATTCACCAGTGATAAAACTTGTTTTGTCTACGTTTCATGACACCACGCCCAAAGAGAAAATGTGCGAAATCAGCTTGTTGATTATCAGAGGGGGTGCCTCAGTATCCACTGTTGCGAGACATTTTAATGTAACACGAAGAACTGTTTACCAAACAATGGATCGCGAGAAAACAACGAAATCAGGAAAGGATCGACGCCGCCAACCTGAGAGAAGGAAAACTACCCCAAGAGAGGATTTTTTTATACGCCAGTCGCATCTATGGAATCGTTTCAACACGCAGGGCGAACCAGAGATGAGTTGAACAACATGCGACAACACCCTGGCAACCTCAGACACTTCCTCAACTTGGGAGAGCATCGCATGAAGAGTGGAATAACATCCCTCAACAGGCAGTGCGGCGATTGATTGATTCAAGGCGGCGACGATGTCAAGCCGTCATCAACGCTACTGATCGTGTTACTTTTGTAGACCACCCCCACGCTCTTGTAAGTCGTGAATAAACCTGTTATGTTAACATTCCGTATTGTTGTTGTAGTTTTCGTTTTTGAAATTGATTGAATTCGTATTCCGGAAATTTTAAAGAATATTGGTTCATTGTGAAACTAGCTGTTTTCAATTTAACACAGTGTATACTTTAAAATGTGACAGAGTACACTTTTTTTCTATGCGTTGTCTGTCCATTGCAGGCTGTAACCTTCAGTTAACAACGTCCACGCTGTTCTATGGGCGGCTCTGTGTATCCAGGTTGTACCCGTCCTCCCTCTGTTGTTATATAATTGCCACCGTCTTTTTTGTCTTCCTTCTTTTTATACTTTTTTTGTTTTTGGTCTCCAACCAATGCATCTTTTTGTCCATTTGTTATTCTTTACTCTACCTGCCAATTTTCATGTTCGTCGGGGTTTGAATTTGGAGATA